AAGTTTGCACGCTTTTCCGTTATTTCTCTAAAAATTTAATGTAGTCAACAAATTTTTTTAAAAAAAATTATTGTAAATACAAATAATACCTTAAAGGTAAATTCCTTACCATATTTTTTTGTTGACTCAACTATTTACCATACAAAATAATATGCTTTGAACTCCAATATAGAGAATGTGATTTGCTCTAAAATATACACCTGATTTAGTAAGTAGCCATACCAACACATCTTTCATTCGACTTGAGCTAAGGTTAAGCTTTCGGATTCATGTTTGTATGCTGGTGAATGGAGTTAGGTAGCTGCACGTTCTACACATTTGGGAGTAGTCGAGAAGGTCAGCCACTATAAACGTAACTCTGAGTTACATCTCTTTTAGCCATTGGGCATTCAAAAGCGAGCAAGTGTCATGCAAAAAATTCCGAAATTTTGATTCACAACAATATCAAGTGTCTTTCGCTAGAAATGTCTGATATTATAATTTTATTTGTCTAACCATAAGAATGGTTAGAGGTGATCGTCAACTTTGAAAAATATTACAACTATCAAATTTTTGTTTTCTCGATTATCCCAGCAATAAATTAATCTTAACCAGTTCAATTTGCACATGCTATAAACCGAGAACTATTAATTTTACCTGTTCTTCTTCTGACACACATTGCCCCTCGATACATTATTACTTAGCAAACAAAAGAATGCATATTTTCTTTTTCTTTCACCGATAGTTTTCAAAAAGGACAACACTTTCAAAGCTTGTGAATCAGTCGATAGAGACAAACATGGAAGGGTCATAGTAGTTGAAATGAAAACACACATTTAATTACATAGAAAAACATTAGAACCTTGGCTTTCACAATGGGTTCATTAGTTTAAAGAGGGCAAAAACTAGTAACTACCTACCTAACCACTAAGATCATTTGATATGCTTAAAGATCCAAACACTTTATAGAAAGATTAAACCTTGAGAGTTGAGATTTTCTGCGTAAACCAAATCACAAATTTCGAACCACACAAAGATCCGGCGATCCAACCGAAACAATTTGATCTTGATGGATTTTATCTTACAACAACATGGCTAATCACGGGTCAGAAAATACTCATGGCCCACCAAATTGGCCCAAAACAAAATCCGGCCCACAGTAGAATAAAAGATTATTTGTACGAGTACACAAAATTTTAGGGATCTCTCAGTGTATTAAGAACCTAGCCGCTTTTTTCTGTTTCTCTCATGAGACTCAAAGCATGCTCCACATCCACCGATGTCGAAGCAGCAGATCACGAGGGCACGAACCCTTTGCAGGAAGGTAATAAGAACTTTGGGTTTCTTTATTGCTTTTGAAGCCATCGATTCTAACTGTCTTTGCTTAGCTGAGAGAGAGCTGCAGAAGTCGGTGGAGGAAATTCTTACTACAAAACCTGTTATCAATACGCCTTGATACCCAGCTCAATTCGGATTTA